CTCTCATCAAGTGCAAGTTAGTAAGTTGTATGAATGAAACTGAGTCTAGAGGACAATTAAGAGCTACAGCAAATCAGAATGCCCTTCAAATTAATAAAAATACTTTCATTACACAATACAAAGGGCCTGCTAACTCGCAGTTCTTAATTCTTGAGATTTTCCAGACTAAGACTTGCTGCACTTGATTGAGAGAAGGCTTTACTGTAAGGAGCTGAATTTTTGGGGTAGCATACTTATCTTTTTAAGTTCTTTCAATAAATCTGTTGCTGGTACAGTGTCTTGAGATGTAAACAGCTTCTTTTTCAGAGCAACCTTCACACTGGTAGCCATTTAACTAAACAGGTGTGGTTTACCTTGTTCTAAAAATAGTAAACTTATTAAGCTATGCAGGCTACAGTGATTTTAATTAAATGCGTGGGTGTTGCGCGCTCCTACCCTTCCCTTTTTCTTTTATGGGCTCCTGATATTAATTAATTAATTTATTAATTATTATTATTAATTATTATTAATACCTGTCATAGATACCATTGGGTCATAAGGTATGGTCTTTCCTTTATGCTGGACAGTACTAAGACCAGGAGGAATAACTTGAAAATCAAACATACCTACACACGTGTACATGTACAAGTAAATTTAATAATAGTACATTTTCTGATGCATATACATGTACTTATGTTGTGTAGAAAGTTTGAGCTGATTCCAACCAAGTGTGGAAATTATACAAATCTTTAAAGTTACTCCAATCAGGTCAAAATCCCTGTACAGGGATTTTGGCCAAATTTCACAAAAATTGAAAAGGTGAGAACTCATCAATTTTATTACATTTTCTGATACATATACATGTACTTATGTTGTGCAGAAAGTTTGAGCTGATTCCAATCACATTAATATTTTTTATGAATTTTTAAAATTGCTCCAAAATTGGACAAAAGTCCCTGTACTATAGTACAGGGATTTCAGCCAAATTTCACAAAAATTGAAAAGGAGAGAATTCCTCAATTTTATTACATTTTCTAATACACATACATGTTCTTATATTGTTTAGAAAGTTTGAGCTGATTCCGATCACATTTGGATTTTTTACAAATTTCTAAAGTTGGTCAAAAATCTGGCCAAAGACTATGCTAACATTCAGCTAACCATTAAACTTATATTCAGTATTAATTAACCCCATCAGTTCTGCAGTATATCCATACACTACTTCTCCTTTATCCTCTGAAACGGCAGCCATCTTTACTCTTCGTAT